AGCTCCGTCATAATTCTACTTGAAGTAACCAATTTTTATTTTTATCTTTTTGGACAAATAAGTAACCAATTATAGAGGATGAGTTTATAAAGATTCTTAATTTTATATAAATTTTCAAATCGATTAAGATACACAAATGAATAACTTGTTCTTTTTTACAGTGAAATTGTAATTCACGAAGTCAAATCCAAATTCAGATTAGCAAGATGAAAGCCTCACAATACAAAAACTAAGTCCAATAAGTACCACATTGTTGAAAATGAAGTGGTTTGGTTCTTGGTCATAAATTAATGTCCAAAAACACTACATAGGTGTTTACTACTGTAGAGGAAGTAGGTCTGAATGATTCTATATTATTGAGAAAGGTAAGAATATATACAGAGTACAAGACGTGAGGACGAAAGCAGTAGTAATGACAATTGATACACAATATATACTATGATATGAGTTTCCTTAATACACCCCCTCAAGATGGAGGAAGTCCAGTGACTCCAATCTTGTTTCTCAGCTCCTAAAACCGGGTCCTTGATAGAGGTTTTGTCAAGCCATCAGCTAACTGATCCTTTGTAGAAACATGAGCAACTCTGAGAATCCCATTCTGAACCTGTCCCCGAACAAAATGGAAATCAATGGCGATGTGTTTCATTCGTGAGTGGAAAACAGGATTAGCATAGAGATAAGTGGCTCCTATGTTATCATAGTATATAGCTGGTTTGTCTAGGAGAATAACTCCAAGCTCCGTAAGTAATGAGCATATCCACCGTAACTCTGCTGCTGCATTTGCTACCCCTCTGTATTCCGCTTCTGTAGAGGAACGTGAGACCCCTTGCTGCTTCTTGGACGACCATGACAGTGGTTAATTACCAAGATAGATGACATAGCCATTTGTTGAAACATAATCATCAGTGTCCCCCCCCCCAATCTGCATCTGAGAAGCCATGTAAAGCTGGACGGTGTTGTTTGGTGAGTAAGATACCGTGTGTAGTGGTCCCTACCAAGTACCTCAAGACCCTTTTTCAGCCTGCCAATGATCTTCAGTAGGCGTATGCATGAATTGGGAAAGACGATTGACTGCATAGGAGATATCAGGCCTTGTGAGAGCTAAGTATTGCAAGCTTCCCACCACCATTCTGTAATCTTTCTGATTTTGTAACGGTGTTCCTGAGTGAAGACTGAGTTTCAGTGATGATGGTAGTGGAGTTGTTACTGTCTTGGCATCAAGCATGTTGGTCTTGTGTAGGAAATCATTTATGTACTTCCGTTGCATAAGATGAAGCCCCTTTGATGTCTTAGTAACTTCGACAGGAAGAAAGTAGCTTAGTTGACCAAAGTCCTTAATGGAGAAACGTGTTCCAAGTTGTGTGATTATGTCATCCACAAGTACTTGATTTGTGCATGTGACCAGCATGTCATCAACATACACAAGTAGATAGACATAATCTTGGTTCCGTTTCAGTATTAAAAGGGAAGCATCACTCACAGAATTTTGAAAACCAGAGGAGAGTAAGTATTGTCTCAGCTCAACATACCAGGCCCTTGGAGCTTGTTTGAGACCATATATAGCTTTCCTCAATTTGCAGACATGATTAGGCTTATGTGGGTCTACAAACCCTCGTGGCTGACTTATGTTTACCTCTTCAGTAAGATGAGCTTGAAGAAAAGCATTGTTGACATCAAGTTAACGAATCTGCCAATCACAGTTGACTGCTATGCCTAGAATCGTCATGATGGTTGTGGGTTTAATCACAGGACTAAACGTGTCTGTGAAGTCTACTCCAGCTCTTTAATGATATCCTTTAGCATCCAGTCTAGACTTGTGTTGTTTAAGTGTCCCATCAGCATAGTATTTCAATGTGTGCACCCAACGACAGCCAACAACATTCATGTGTGGTTTGAGAGGAACCAAATCCCACGTATAATTAGCTATTTGTGAGTTGAACTCAGAGCTCATAGAAATCCTCCACACTTGATCTTTCATTGTTTGTTGCCAAGTCTTGGGTTCACGATGTGCTGAGGAACGAGCCACAAAGACAAGTGAAAACTTCTTGTTTGGTTTGGTAATGGCATTCTTTGATCTTGTTTGCATCGAGTGATGATTACGGATTGCAGGAGGAGGAGGGGAACTTGACTGTGTACTGGTGGAGCTTGTCTGATTAGTGGAGACTTGTTGACCATTGGATGAGTTCTGGGAAACACCAATACCAGACTGAGCTGATTGTGATGGACTGTGAGGTGCAGACATGGTAGAGTTATGTTGTTCTGGTGCCGATGTTGATGACTGTGGCTGAGGTAAGTCCATGTGTTCCATCATTGTATGTTGTTCCACTGGTGAGGAACCTAAAGCAGGGGACGACGCCTCAGACATACCTGGTGAACTATCAAGTGGCACAGGAAGAACAAGAGGTATATAGTTAGAAGTTGCAGGTGTATGCTCCTGAGAGACAGAAGGAGAAACTACACTGGAAAGCTTTTTAAAAGAATAATCCATCTCATTGAACCTAACATGTCTAGAGGTGTAGATCCTTCCAGACTTTGGTTCTAGAAAGAGATAAGCACTTTGGGTTAAGGAATATCCTAGGAACACACAAGGTAAAGATCTGAGTTCAAGTTTGTTTGGTGAATAAGGTCTGAGCCAGGGAAAACTGAGACACCCAAAGCTTCGGAGCTTATTGTAGTGAGACTTTTATTGAATAATTTTTTGTAAGGGTTTTGAAGGGAAAGAACAGGAGTTGCCATTCGGTTTATTAGGAAAACAGCTGTGGAAAATGAAAAGGGCCAATATGAGAGAGGTATGGCGGCATGAGTGAGAAGAGATAGACATGTTTCAACAATGTGTATGTGTTTTCTTTCTGAGACACCATTGTGTTCAGGTGTATGAGGAAGACTAGTGAGATAAGAGATGCCGTTTGCAGCAAGAAAAGGTTTTAAAGCCAAAAACTCACCTCCATTATCAGAATATAGATGTTTGATCCTGAAACCGAGAGAGTTTTCAACTAAAGCTCTAAAGAGAATGAAAGTTTCTTTGACCTATGACTTAGCTTTAAGAGGATATAGCCACATATAACGTGTGAAGTGGTCTACAAGAACCAAATAATACTTGTAGTTATCTGTAGATAGGATAGGTGATTGCCACACATCAGTAAAAATATAATGAAGAGGATGAGAAGAAGAGATGGAGTTTTCATGAAAGGGAAGCTTATGAGATTTATTAAGAAGACAATCATTGCAAGCAAATGTTTTTATAGCTGAATCAAAACAAGGTAAAGAATTGCTGGAAACAATAAACTTTAAAATTGAGATAGATGGGTGACCTAAGCGAGAGTGCCATTGAGAGAGGGTGGTTTTGGTGTCTGGTATTGCATAAAGAGAAGTGATAGGAACATGAGGCTTAGGCCACTCATATAGTTCATCCTTGGTGCGTCCTTGGAGTATCGGAGCCCCCGTTGTTAGATCCTTCACCTGAAACAAAGTGGGTAAGAATTCAATAGAGACTCTATTAGTGTTGCAAAGCCGGTGGACAAAGATCAGATTTCTGTAAATATTAGGTACACAGAGTACTCTGTTTAATAATAAGGACGCTTAGAGGAAGGTAAAGTGATAGAACCAGTGTGAGTTATTGGAAGCGTCGAGCCATTTCCAACCACAACTTCATCACCACCTGTGTAGGGTTGATGCAGGGAGAGGTTGTGAAGATCCGATGTTAAATGGTGCGTGGCTCCACTGTCAAGGAGACAATTCTATGGTGTGTAAGGTCCCGTAAGAGCCAAGTTAGCTCTTGGTTGCCATGGATTAGGAGACTGATATTGAGATGCCACCGAACCATAACCTTGAGTCATGTTCATCTGTTGAAGTTGTGGACAGCGTTTGGCACTATGACCTTGAACACTGCAAATCTGACATCGCCCCAAATACGGCTTTGACGGACGCGGAGACTGGGGTCTGAGCTGCTGTTGTTGTTGCTGCCATGGCTGGTTGGGCCTCTTGTTGTTGTTGTTGTTGTTGTTGTTGTTGTTGTTGTTCTGCTTCATATTGTAGTTGTTGTAGCGATTGACGGCAACATTTGCAGAGGCTAGTGTGAACAACAGTGGTGTAGCAGCAAGTAGCTTAGCTTCATGATTGAGAAATTGTTCATGTAACTCAGACATTATGGGTGGTATGTCTCTACCTTCAATAGCATCGACCAACGATTTGTACTCCTCAAGAAGTCCTTCAAGTAAATACTCAACTTGATCTTCTTGATCAATAGTTTTCCCAAGGATTGCTAGTTGATCAAAACGCATTGTTAGACTTTGGAAATACTCATCAATTGATTTATTCCCCTTGGTCCAACTTTTGAACTGATGCTTGATTTGTTTGAGATGACCACGTGATGGTTTGGCGTATGTTTCAGCCAGGATGCTCCAAACATCACCAGAGGTTTGAGCACGAGAGACCATTGGTTGGAGATTCCTGAGATGACCCCAAGGAGAGCACTGTAAACTAGCCTATCTTGTGGTTCCAGTGAGTGAAAAGTGGATTTGGGATGGATATGCCTTCATCATTTAACACCGTAGCGGATGGTGGTTCAAACGAATCACCCAAGTACTGAGAGAGTTCATAGCCATCAAAGAGAGCTAGAACTTGACGGCTCCACATCAGGTAATTAGTGGAAGAGAGCTTCACCACATTATTCATGTTCACATAGAGAAGACGTTGGTTGTTGTCGCCAGTGATAATCTCAACTTGGCCAGTGTTGTCAGAGTTAATAGGTGAGGGAGTGGTGTTGGCTGCCATGGAGAAAACAGAGAAAGAGGAAGAAAGAGAGCAGAGGCGCCCAAAAGAAAAAATATAGAGATCTAGGGTATCGTTGGCTCTTGATACCATGTAGAGGAAGTAGGTCTGAATGATTCTATATTATTGAGAAAGGTAAGAATATATACAGAGTATAAGACGTGAGGAAGAAGGCAGTAGTAATGACAATTGATACACAATATATACTATGATATGAGTTTCCTTAATAACTACTTGTAGATGACTCTGACTTGGATCACGTATCGCATCTTGATTTGTTTCGTATTGTAGACAATATATTCATTGAACAATAACATACCCTGCAAAAAAAATGAAAAAATCAATTTATAAACTTGACTTTTTGGGGGGACACTTGTTTTGTGAAATGCGTGTGTTAAAATAAAACCATGGTGCTTGAATGAACCAATGGTTTGCCAAGTGGGACAACAACATCGTCTTCTAGTGTCTTAGCCTCTGAAGGGTTTAGTGCTGTTTTTCCCACACCTTTTGTGCTGCAACCATCAAAAGACAGTAAATTTTTTTAAAAAATACCGAGAAACTCTAGGCTCTAGCTCACAAAACCAAAAATATACCATAGAGAACTCTTCTGAATCAACTCTTACTGGTGTCAATCCACAGTTAAGTTGCTGGTACTGATAGTATAAAGGATCATCCTACACCCATTGCCAAAACACTGCAATGTCATTAGAGAACTATAGGAAGATGGGATTTGATGCTTTAAACCCACCTGCAATCCCTGGTCGACTGACAACAACTTTGTCGCCAATTCGATTTCACCTAATGCTTCAACCTTACATAATAATGTGTAGCACCAGACTATTAAATTTTTTTAAGGCCAAAATTAGTCAAGTAGTAAAACAGTAGAAAGAATTACCATTTCTATTTTCTGTTTTAACTTTTGAGGAGTGTCTATAACAATTCAGAAGTTTTAGCGAATGTTAATTAACCAATTTTAGAACATATGTAAAATGCATATGAACTTACTCATTTTCTTGAAACCAAAATCATGGGGTATTACAGTATAGAACTCTCTGCATCAATAATGATACCAAGTTACATTAGCTTGTATGCATTTTCTTTGTGGAAAAAAATGGTTCTATATTCAACTAAACACGAAACTTAGTCTAGCAATTAACCAAATACATACCCACTCAGTTCTTCAATCCTTGCTCTATCATACCGCTCAATCATCTCCGATATTCTCTGCAACACTTCATAACCCTAAAGAGATCCAAGAGTACTTATTATTAGCTATCACAACAAAATATAATGAGACCAAACAAACCATTTAATACATTTTTTTTACCTTTGATATTATGGACTTGCTTAGCTTCCTAAGTTGCAATTCCTTAGCGTTGTATCCTTCAAAGTTCAAATATCTAAACTATATGAGTGGCAGTATGAAAATCAGCTAGTTGTAAAGAAACCAAGCAAATAACTAAGAAATTATGTATTGATATATACAAATATAAGAAAAGGAATATCAACCATAGTTCTGTCTATGGATCCCTCACTTTAATGAAATATGAAAGAGACCAACCTATCTCCATCATTTGTTGTGCCATCATGCTTACATTGCATATAAGAGAGATGAACTTGGCAACCTGGGGATCTAGTTTTGATTCCTCAGGTTCAACTTCAGAAGATGATTTGGGAATATCATTGACCTGAAAAGACAGAAAAACATTGCAAACATAGATAAAGTGTAGCTGAACAATGCAAAAGCTTGCTAAAATAAATGTAGAAGCATCATTCAAGATTCCGAAACACTCACAACTGATTCATTTTCTTCTTTGCCATAGTCCATTTCAAGCCATGCATAGGACTTGGGATGAAGGATAAACTCCTTTCTGTCAGACCAATGATTCTGTGTCTTGTCATAGAACTTGTTGCTGAATATTTCTACTGCAGGATCACATGCGTCATAAGGCCCATCTAGTTTAATATGTCCTGTCACACCAACTCTTCCCCATCTGAAGTTACCATATATGTTTTCTTGTTATCAGACTCTGCACATAGATCACACAAATCATAGAAAATGAAATTGAGACAGAGGTGGGTTCTTCAAGAACAAGACAAAGATGTCATCTACACCCTAATCATAATCTGGCCAAGAGGAACTGACCTAACACTTGTAGGACAAAGAACTTGTTATTATTATCCCTGACATTTGTCTGATTTAACATGACATCATACACATCATCACCCTAAAACATTCAACAAAGAAAAATTCAAGTCAATCTGAAATAAATAGGCACATTCATGAACACAATAAGGTGAAAGAAAAGAACTAGCCCTTTGTAGAACATGGTACTGGCTCTTTACGTGATCAGGAATCCATCGATCCATTACCGCTGCTCATGCCTTCTTTGTTGATTTCTCTTCTTCAAAGCCATTCTTGTCATCTTCAGCGTCATCATTGCATAGCCTCTCAAGAAGTTCCTTCATGTTACCACTTGTAACTAAGCCTCTCTTACTAGCTTCCTCACGCAACTCCTTCACATTCATCTGACGAAACTCTCTGGTTGTAATGAACTTGTTTGAAACGTCAGTACCATCAGAAGAATCTCTGTTTCTTTTCCTACCGCTCTTGGATTCTTCCTTCTTTGCATCTTCTGCAATAGCCTCTTCAAGCCTCTCCACCTGAAAATCTGAATATTACCGAACAGAGAACTAAGAGAACACATGAAAAACTGGTTCAGTAAAATACCAAAACGGGTTTGACTCCGGTGGTACTAAGTCAACGCTCGGAAAGCTTCGCACGGAGTTCGTTGACTTTGAGATTGTTCGCCATTTTCCTCTTTAGTCTTCTTCTTCTTCTTGGTCGCCGAAAAATAGTTCGTCGGATGTTTTATGGTTGACTTGGGAAGAGAGTTCGCACGAATATTTGAAGCCTTCTTCCATGAAGCTTCTAAATCCATCCCAAACATTAAAATATATTAAAAAAATCCACCCCTGACTTTCTTTAATGAACACAACTAAATGATTAACCCTACTATTGATTAATCCATGGCAGACAAAGTAAAATCCTGAAATATATTTTTTGTAGATAGATTTTAATTTTCTTATTTGTCTAGACAAATAAAATAAAAACTTCGAATGACATGTGAAAACAAAAACTAACAAAAGACATTTTCAAATATCTAAAATTGCTGGACTTAAAATGAATGGGATGTAAATAGTTTCTTTTGGAGGTTAAGGTTAGCCACTACTCATTTTCCAAGGACATGCCTAATAATTTCCGTCAACGGATTAAGTTAATTACAGCATCCTCAAAAATATCGTTTTTAGTTTTCAATGAAAAAATATTAATTGTATTCTGTAATTTATTTTTCCATTGGTTAAAACATGGGTTAGGTGTATAGGTATTAAGTTTATATAGAAATTATACAAAATTAACTATTTTTTTTAATCTGTATGCACAAATTTAGAATGATATTTATAATAAAACAAAGAATACATTCTAACGATATAAAAAATATATTTAATTAAATTCAAACACAAAGAAAATTAGAACAAATAATAAAAACATCTGTCAAAAAGTCTCTCAAATTGTTACATAGGTTTCTCCTATGAAAGACGCCTTGTCCAATTTTCATCTCTCTCATCCACTTTGTACTAATTTATTATTTATCTGAAAAGAAATTTCTTCAGATACCATCCAGCATATGACCTTACGGACTACTGAGTAGCTAACTAGTTGCATGATCAGACGTCCGGTTCTCATTTTAGAATCAGAAATGGATCGGAAGTTTTAGGAAACTTTCAGAATCTTGATTCTAAAACACTTCTAAAATAACATATTTAAAAGCATGTTGGAGCTTACGAGAAAAAATCCATGTTATAAATAAGTTAAAAATATGTAATCTTCATAAGACAGATATAGGTAGATCCTCATAAGACATGTAATATTATCGGTTGTCGAATCGTCTATGTAATATTTTTTTATTATTGTACTAACATAATAATTTAGAATTAAGAAAAAAGTAAAAAATATAAAATTATGTCTTTATGCTTTTATATAAATTCTGAAAATTAATAGTATTAAAATAGAGATATATCCAAATATTAAAACTAATACTAAAATTATTTTCATACATTCAGTTTTTTAATAAGAGAGATTACATATATATTCAAATATATTATGTCAATTATGTTTCGAGATATTGGAAATAATAAATTTGATCACTTGGATGATAATTTCTTATAAATTTAATTTTGAGTATTTCGTGTTATAATATGAAGCCACCTGACTGGATTATTGATTTTATTTTTAATTTGAATCATATAGTTTTAGTCATAAATTTTATAAAATCATCTTATATTTTAATACACACACACACACATATATATATATACATATTTTGGATATACGATTCTAATATTTATCATTTTAGTGTTTTTTTATTATAAAATCATTTTTTACGCTTTCATACGATTTCATTTTCGTGTAAGCGCTTCCAATTCATATAACATAGGTAGCTACAGATTTAATCAAAATTCATTTTTCTTAATACAGATTAATCAAATTGGAAAAAGTCATTTTCTTATAAAATAGGTTAATGCTGCCGCATTTTTTTTTTCAGAATTATGTAAAAAACCTTAGTTTGGCTTCTTTTCCGACAATTTACCAAACCTGGTTTGAAATGTTTGTTTATATCAAGAGACAAAAATAAAATAGAAGGAATCAGCAACAAAGAGTCAACTCAACAGTTTTGTCATCTGATTATATTGTTGGAACTATTTTCGAACATTATGAATAATGTATTCATATGGCAAAAATGAAGTTTTATGATAAAAAGTGGAATATGTGTGATTTGAAACTTGTACAAAGTAACAAATACACACATTGACTATTTCAACTTAAATGTGAGTTCTGATTTGTTAGTTGAAATTCATGTTCATTAACTTAATTATATATATATATATTAAATATATTATTAATAAAATATATAAAAATAAATCCATAAATTATATTATTTAGTATGAATTGATCAAACAATAATAATTTTATTCTTTAATTTCTTAGTCAAAATGTGAAATAAATTTACGTAATAATTGACAACAATTAAAGTCTTCATTAGTGTATCATAGAAATTTCATCTTGTGTTGAAAAATAAAACTTGTACTTTTTTTTTGAGAAAGGGCTTAAACAAAAATTGCACTTCTCATTATTTTTCTATAAATAGCTTGTCATCACTATATAAAGCACACATTAATTCAAAAAAAAAAAAAAACTCTTTCCCACTTAAATAGTTTTATTAAGTTTTTACGTTTGAGAGTACAACACATAATATTCGATAGATTCTGTAGTTGGTGTTGGAAGATAGAAAGTTTATACTGGGAATCTAAGTGCTATGAAAATGTCACACTAAATATTATTTAAATATTTGCAGAAATAAATTTGTCATCTCGACTCTACAATTCTTATTTTTCAGTTTATTTTGGTATTGTAATTTTGATTTATGTTCTTTTTATTTTAACAAATATCAGTTGTCTCTATTGTAATAAAATAAATTTCCTACATATATTACAAATTTTTTTCTTATTTAAATCAGTACTAGAATTAAATAGTTCTGATTTAGTTTTAAAACTGATTTGATGATAAATGTAGAACTTGTAATAAAACGTTTGTTTTGATGACAAAGGCTTCTAAACACAGTCTCCAAATGTAAACAAATTTACATGACAAGTAACTGTCAGGTGAGCCATGTAAAAGAACATATATAGACTTTGGTCAACAACAACAAACAAAAGAAGAAGGGTAGAGAACATGCAAAACCTACAAAACATCACAAGTGTTTGAATGGAGTAGATGGTAGAGAACCAACGACATGTTCAGTCCATATGTACCAACCGCCTAACATATAACAGCCTGTCCTCATCCCCAAACCTCTACATTAGTTTTTCTCATTTATTATCAATTTGTAATACTATAATATATTTTTTCCTTTTAGAAACATTGTATTATGTGCGAATACATATTACAGAAGGAAACAATCTACTCTATTAAATTAGATTCATTGTTTTTATCTACTGTACAAAAGTCACTATTTTATTAATTACATAATATGACATAATATTCAATAAGAATATTAATAATAAATCAGTTTTAATTATAAATTTGAATTTTATTTTTCGTTATAGCAAAATTTGTTAAAAAAATCTAACAAAATAATATGTTTGTTAAATCTAACAAAATCATTAATATTAATTTCAAATAATATGTTTGTTAAATAAAGCATTAATTAATTTCCTAATTAATAATATAATATTATTTTAAATTAATAAATTAACTATTATATAAAAAATAAAAACATATTATACTTTTATAAATTTTCTTATAGTCTATATTATTTTAAATAGAAGTATTATATAAATTAAATATGACAAAAAATATTAAATTAGTAAATGAGCCAATTTATTTTTTAAATTAATTTCATTTAAATAAATTATTATCTACAATTAAAACTGATTAAATTTTTAACTATGTAATATTCATATAAAAAATAAAGTTCTTAACATATATTAAACTTTTGATTCTACAACTATATATTTTCAAAAAATATATTTTAAAGAAGAGTGTTGTGTGATTATTTCTGATTATAAAAAATATTTATATATATTCTACTCTTATAAGTTTTGTTATAGTCTATATTATATTTAAATAGAATTATTATATAAATGAAATTTGATAAATTATATTAAACTGATAAAGTAACCTATTTATTTTTAAAAATACTTTTATTTATATAAATTATTATCTACATTAAAACGGGTTAAAGTTTGTTAACCATGTAATATTCTTATACAAAAATAAAGTTATTAATATATGTTAAACATTTTATTCTAAAACTATATATTTTCAAAAATAATCTTTTAAAGGAAAAACACATGTAAGCCATACATTTTCACTCCTAAATGCTAATGACATTTTAATATAACAGTTACAAGTGAAATGGTTGTTTTATTACATTAAGATAATGGTTTTATAAAATGTTGTTCAGTAACATACTCCATCTGTTTCAATAAGATAGATGTTTTCGAATTTATCACACATACTAAAAATCATCTAAAAGTGTATTTTTTTGTGTAACTATTTCTCATAAGTGATGGCCAATTAAAATTCAATAAACACAATTAATTTTTTGAAATCTACTATTTATCATTACTACATACTTTGAAAATGTAAAAAATTGATTTTTTTGGAAATAATTTTTCTCTAGAATATGTTTTTTTTTTGAATAGAGAGAATAAACTTTAGTAGAAATTGTGCATAATAAAAAGATCATAGCACAAAAGAAATTATTAAACAGATGGAAGAATCTAGACACCTTACATGTACTGATGTCAACTATTATTATGACTTCAATTATAATACTTCATCAGTTTTATAACAAGTGCCATTCTAACATTTTTTTTTTGTGGAAGCTCCCTTAATCTAGTGGTTTGACTGAAGGTTCATTAATGCTTCTACATCAGAAGGTCTAGGTTTCAATTCCCGGTAATAGCGATTTCTTAAACAAGTATGTAGGTTACAAAAGAAAGACTTACAAAGGATCTTCAACATGGTGAACTCAGCCAGACGTGAATCTTCATAGGACGGTTCAGGTGATGCAGTTAGATGTAGATCATCATAAGGCAGATAGTATTGTCGATTGTCGAATCGTCTATCTAATCTTTCTCATAATTATAATATCATAATAAATCAGCGTTAAATTTTTTTCTTTTTTGTTACATAAAAAGTGTCACTTTAGAATTCTAATACAAAATATACTTACTTTCAGTTCGAAATTAATTGCAAATTACATTGATTTTATAAATAATTCTATTTATCTTAAATACTATTGGTCAATAGATGTAATTAATATCAACTTACATATATTTCAATTATTTTTTAATATTTGTGAAAAATGTAAAAGTGATATTTATTAAGAAATGGAGGGGTAGTTTATTAGCAGTCTATTCTACGGATGTACTAATTTGCATCATGTTATTACCTTTGCAGTTTCAAGTTCTTGAAAGTATAATTAAAGTGGATGTCAAAAAAAAGTATAATTAAATTTAATTTTCATGTAATATGTTATAAACTCTCTTTTGGTATTAATAAAGTTTTAATCATTTTCCATTAAAAAAAGTTACTATAAACAAAAAACAGCAATAATAGATGTTTTTCAATGCTATAACAATCTATACTATTAAAGCAGAATCCTATTGTTAAAATTTTGGATTCTACCCCTAGATTTTTATCACATTTATAAGATAATACTACTATTTATTTTTAGAATCTTAATAATTAAACAATTTAATATCTCCTCTATTTATGGTAACTGATAATATTTCATATTTTTGTGATTAATAATAATTTTCCTTTTGTGAAAATTATGATTTTCTATTTAGTTTTAATATTATATTTCCGTGCATCATATTATTTAGCGATCAAAAATTATAAATTATTATTTACTGTTTCATTTTATCCATAATAATGATATGTCAATTCAATTTGTTTTAAAAACTAAATTTTAGATATAAAATGAGTAAAAATGTAAACTTATCATAAGTTATTAATAACGAAAAGAAACTAATATTGTTATATGAATAAATTGTGTTTTTTTCTATTGCCATTGTTTCATTTTTCAAATGACAAGAAAGTTTTTATTAAATAAATTACAAAAAAAACAATTTTATTTAATATTAAAAATATAAATTATTTAAAATATATTATCAGTTTTTATGGGGTTATTTAACGGATCAACGGATATCATAATACATATTAATAGCGGGTTTTAAGATATATACCGGGTTGGCTTAAATTTTTAATTAGTAAATTTTTAATTAAATCTTAAATGGATTATATAAAAATTGCCGGATGTACCGGTTCAACTATGGATCTGGGTCGGATATGGAAATATTACGTGAAAATCAAACATTATAATAGAACTTTTTTAAATATTAATAAAACAATTTTAAAATTTTTTTGTTTGAATAATTAATTTAAATAAAATTTATTAAAATGATAAAAATATACCCGCACTTTTAAAGTACGGGTCAAAATCTAGTATTATCATTAAATTACCTATCATATCCGAATAAGTATGCATAAATACTTGCTCGAGAAAGCTAACGAAAAGTTTTTTCTTTGAAAAAGGGCTTACAGCCAACGAAAAGTTATACGTAAACAAGATGCCAAAACCAAACAATTACAAATAAAATATGATTAAGTGTATAGGTAATTATGTTTTTATATAAGAAATATATAAAATTAATTATTTTTTAATATGTGTGTATAAATCTAAAATGACACTTATAATAAAATAGAGGGAATAGTAAACAAGATGGTCGTAAATGAAGCTGGGGGTGTCGGGACTCGGGGTGATACTATGAAGCAGAGAACCATTCACGATGCAAGTGGTCGACGAGAACCAACAAAGAGCAACTTCACTGCCTCAAAATATCTACTTTTGTAACCTGAAGTGATTATTATTCCAAGGCCGGTGAAGTTTTACGTATAGTAGTATTTTTTAGTATACTTATATGTCACAAGTTCACCAATGATTTCTTGACATGTAAACATTCATTTGTAATCTGTTAAGTTATAACTCTGCTTTCTTCATCTGAATTTCTTTTGTCATCTAAATATTAGGATTGATAAACTTAAACGAGCAGAATGTTTAAATTAAATTTCGAAACTCCCGTCCAATGGTTAAACACTATTATAATTAGTATAGATCCCACGTTTAAAATCTAATTAAAGATTTTTTTAATTAGATTAAAAATGCTAATTTTGACTTAAAAATAGAAAAGCTTATTATGGGTCAACGGACATAATTGACGTAGTCGTTTTTGGAGAGTGCAAAGACAATTTCGAAGTTACTTCCTTTTCTTTTCTTTGGTTCTGTCTCGCCTTCCTTCCTTCTATATAAACTTCCCCTCCTCTTCCTCTTTTCCCCATCTCCTCAAGCCATTTCGAAATCAATTCTAGTTTGAGAGAGATAACACAGACGACACCAAGTTTCTTCCATCTCGTTGCCGCAGATCAAAAATCTTCCTATTCCTCGGATAAACCTCTCCTTCTGCGGCGGCGAAACAGAGGAACAAACCTCACAAAACCAACAAAAGTTTCAACCTTTATATTGTCTGTTCTATCTCTCTCTCTTCCAAAAATGGCTCGTTCTCTCTCTAACGTTAAGTTCGTATCTGCTTTCGTTTCTAAAGAACTCTCCAATGCAATCTTCCGGTAAAGTTCGCTATGCTTACACTCTGTTTTTTTTTCTAGTTATACTCTGTTTTCTAAAAGATGCCGTTTTTGTTGACAGACGTGGCTATGCGGCGGCTACGGCGGCGCAGTCGAGCGGTGGAAAAGGTGGAGCCGTTGTTTCGGCGGTAATGAAGAAGGGTGTGGAAGAAACGAACAAGAACATTTCTTGGATTCCTGATCCCAAAACTGGTTATTACAGACCGGAAACCGGTTCCAAAGAGATTGACCCAGCGGCGCTACGAGCAGCTCTCTTAAACAAGAAGCAGTGATTGATTAATTAAAAAAGTATACTCTTTTTGATTAATTATTTAATGTTCATTTTAATGTATTGAGAAGAGATTAGAGGAAGAGGGTTATGATCTGGTGCAGTGAACCCTATTTTCATCTGCTACTTGCGATTCTGTAATAAATATATAGAGAAAGCCTTTTGGCTCCTCTATTCTGTAACAAAAGGATCGTTGGATGTATGATGTATCCAATATAGTTTTTAAATTAAAAATTTATACGTACTAGTAAATTTACAACATAATCTAGCTTAATATGAAAATGAATCACTTCTTCTTGAAGGACTATACGTAAGCCAGAGAGAAAAATCTATACAAAATGCATGTCGATCGACGTAAGTCAATCCATGTCGACCTCGAAGATCGCGGTCGATCTAAATCAAGTGATTACTCTAATTCTCTCTAAAATATTCCAAAAACATTAATTTTTTCCAAAATACTCATGAACCTATAAATATGCTTAAAAGCTTCTATAATATAATAAATAGTAATAAAAACACCAATATAACATGACTAAAAATGGGTCAAAATCATGGTATATCAGTTATCAATGAGATTATATAATCACGAAAGTGAATTATTTTATAGAATATTGATCAACTTAAATAGTGCATATTAAAAGACAATTCGAAATAGAGAAGCAATGGTCGGCTTGACCCGATTACCTATATGGCCAATTACTTGTTTCATTTCATATGGCATTACAAACTTTATTGATTTTAACAATATCGTTATGTCTTCTGTTTGACTTGTTTATAAGAAAAATCTTTACAATTGTTTTATCATGGTGGCACTTCTAAAAGTTTAAGGTCACATAGTTTATAAGGATCAACAAAATACACATATGACCGATTATTCACACATATTGTATACAACGTATTTTTTTGGTCTTTTACTTCATACTTTCCTAACATACATGTTCATGCAGTAAATAATTATTATGTTCAAATTTGATGAATCTAAATGCAAAAACGGTATATAAGCAAAACAAATATTCAGAAAATTTAAGTATTTGTACAATGAATATTATATTCATTATCAACCATGATCGTTTTTTTTTCTTATCAACCATAGTGCAAGATAAACATTACAAAAATTCGATTCAAATAAAAAGGCATGTTTCGATAAACACGTTGGTTGGTCTCTCGATCTATATACAATAGAATCTCAATAATTAATATTGTTGAAACTTTGAAATTTTATTAACTTATAAATATACTAGTTTACAAAAGTTTCTTTATTTATATTCTTATTTTAAAAATTATTTACTATAAGATAGAAAATATTCAATTTTATTGGATAGATATTAGTTTTTTTTTTAATTTGACATTTATATTAATTATATTATATTATTTAGTGTATATAATATATATTGCATACAGTTTAAATGTGGTTTGAAATATGATATTTCTAAATCTCATCAAATATATATCCATCTATGGCTTGTGCATTAACTTCTGGGTTCATAATAACACCAATTCATCTGGCTTTAGAAACTCATCAAGATAATAATCTTTAGTTAAAGTAAAAGTTTTAGGGGTAGAATCGATCGATGTGCTAGCTGCAGCGTCGATCGATGGTAGGCTAGAGGTGGTGATCTTTGGCTGGTTGGATGTTGCACTTGTTGCTTTGCCATGATGATCTCTGAAGTTGGTTTCTCTCTTGCTCTATCTCCCAAAGGTAGTAGGTGCTTGCATCTTGTCTGATTCTATGGTATGAGACGTCCTCTTGGTTGCAAGACTTCTTTTATACTCATCAGTGCCATAGGAAAAATTGGAAAATTGCAAATTTTCCTGTAGTCAGTGGCGTTGAAATCGATCGATGTTGAAGTGAGTGGGTCGATCGATTGTTGATGTCGTTTTCCCTGATGTGGCTGAGTATCGATCGATTATGGTACAACCGTATCGATCGATTTCGTGGGCTTTGTCTTGTTGATGGGTTGTAGGAGTCTATCATCTGTAAGGATTGCATGGATTTGTCTAGCATACTCCTCATCATAATCCTCATCATGCTTCTTTTTGTGATCCACTGAATCTGATATGATTGTCGTGTCTACTGCAAAGCTCTCATGGAAACTACTGTCTGCCCAACTGCCTATAGACTAGCCATCCTGCTTGTTGCTGGTGGTCTGCAAGGCAAAATTGGGTGTGATTCCATGCGTGAAATGTATGTCGATCGATGCATCATGAGGTGCATTGGTCGCCGTTGAGCCCAAATATGGCCCGCTAGCTGAGACTAATGGGCTCGAGCGATAAGAGTTGACAATGGGCCACTGTAAGCCCATTGGAAATTAATCTTTTGAGAAAAGAGTTAAAAAGAAGCCGGAGGCTGTTTGCTAAGGAAGGGACGTCAACAAAACAGGTCACGGAGGAGAGCTCCGGATCTCATTTGCAAAGAGCTAACATGAGTAGCTCAGGCTGGTTGCGCAGGACCCAGTCAAAAGGAGACTGTTGAGAATCCCCCAACCCACGGAGCAAATCTCGGAGGTTGGTTAGGATCGTTCAAACGTAGCTGAGAGCTATTTAAGGAGGAGGAGGAGATCAGAGAAAAGGATCCCTCTCTCGATTCAATTTCATTCAACCAATTTTCGCATATATTATTACTCACAAATCATTCAGCTATTTCTTTGTAATCATCCGAATCATCTTTGTAACCCTTATTCATCAATACAATCATATTCATTCTTTAAGTTCTAACAGGATTAAGCCCACGATTGTCTTTTCCCCAATCTAAACCTAACCTAAATTAGAGAGTGAGTTTTACCCCTCACATTTTGGCGCCGTCTGTGGGGACGAGATAATTGAATCCTTTACTCCGTAACTTGAGAATGGATCCATCCAACCAGGCAACGAATCCGTCTATCCCTGATCCCGTGATCCAGATCGACGGCTCACCGAACAGAAGAGACTCGGATCTTCAGGACCCAGAGCCTCGATCCGCCGATCACCGATCTGAGCAACAGCCTCCGGCTAATGCTCAACCGAACCAGACCACCACTGGGATAACTAACCCGAGATCCTCCAGTGGAAACAACTCTGGGGTTACACCCCTCGAAAACCCTCAGCGTCAACCCGCTCCGAACCATTCGGAAGCTCAGCTATCCGAGAAGCGTCGAATGATGGTGCAATTGGTAGAAAGAGCTCAGGATAATGAGCGTACGTTGCAACAGCTAACTGCTCGACAGCAACGGTTCGAAGAGGTGACTAGATCTCTAACCGAGATGACTCATCTGCCGCAACGTCAAGGCTCGGGAGTCACCTTCCGAGATCGACTGACCGAACCTACGTTCCCTCGCGGACGCCTGGACTTTTCCCCTAACAGCACTGCTCAAGATGGGCAAGAATCTGTTCTCCGGACACCTCATGCTGGAACAACCCCTGCATTCAGTCCACCCGTAACCAGCGCTATGGGAAGTAACATAGCAACAACAAGCTCTGCGCCCAACAGGGTCACTGAACAGAGCACACGTTTACCGCCTCCGCCACCTGCTTTCAGATCCGGAGAAGGAATATCTTTCCCTCCTAAGGAAAGAGTATCGGCTTCTACTTATCAGACTGGGAGCGCGATCCCGAATCGAGACGGCCACCAGAGGACGGAAGCTGATCCTACAGCTCACCCCCCTGGTCGAATCCCTCGAAATGACCCTAGAGCGAGTGATCGATTTAGCCCACCTAATGCTTGGGAGAACAACCACACTCGACTCCGTCAAGAATCTCCCCATCAGATTCATCATGACGACCCAACCGTCCTTCCTCTAGAGGGACCTGAGGCTATTCGCTGATACATGGAGCAAACTCACGCAGCTCTCCAAAAGTTGAATGCTCAAGTCCATAAAGCAACAAGATCAACTCCCGAAATCGAGAGCTTGATTGAGGAAACCCGCGGGACCCCATTCACAAACAAAATCGCTAGCTCTTACATAAGAGATACCCGAAAAATTAGGATCCCCGAATATGACGGGACCTCAGATCCTAAGGCTCATTTGAGAGCCTTCCGATTAGCTATCGTGAAAGCTCACTTCACGAGAGAAGAATGCGAGGCAGGTTACTGCATGACTTTCGCCAAAAACTTGGTCGGAACAGCTCTCGAATGGTTCTCGAGCCTTGAGCCGAACTCAATAGATAACTTCGACCAGCTCACCAACGCCTTCATGAAGCAGTACTCGATCCATATCCTCAAGCAAGCTTCTGAGGCCGACCTCTGGAAAATCAGACAAGGAATGTGAGATTCGTTACGAGTCTGAGAAATTCAGAGCAGTCAGAACTAAGCTCTCGAATCCCAACGATCAAGTTGCCATCAAAGCCCTTAGAAGAGGTCTCTGGTACAAATCAGAATTCTGGTCCGAGCTAACGCTTAATCCTCCCCCAACTATCGATGATGCCCTTCACAAAGCATCAAGATATATTACCTTGGAAGAGGAAATAGCTGCGCTAGATAAAATCCATAAGAAATCCCAGAGTCACCCAAAAGGTGAAACCTCAGAAGCAAAAGGATCTTCTAGAAAAGTCTACAAATCGAGACCCTCCTAAGCAAACCACCACCTCAATCGAGCCCCAGTTCGAGGGTGGATTATATCCTCGGAGGCTCCGATATATGTCAAGACTCCGTTAATTCAATCAAGAGTCACGTACGGAAAGCCGTTTCCAATTCTCAATCTAAGCCTCCCAACCCTGAGTCCAACACTAAGATTTCTTTCTGGGAGAGCGAAACATCAGATCTCGACAGACCTCACGATGATGCCTTAATCGTCACCCTGAACATAGCAGGTTACGAGGTGCCTAAGCTGATGGTTGACACCGGAAGCTCGGTCGACCTTATCTTCTATAACGCCCTGAAAGGGATATAGATAACTACGAAATTATTGGTCAGAAAGCTAACCTTGTAGGCTTCTCCGGGGAAACAGTTACCTCCTTGGGAACCATCAAGCTCCCGGTCATAGCTGGAGGAATCATGAAAATGACCAATTTTGTAGTCATCGACAGACC